GAAATTTGAGTCAAAGATTTCTGCAGTTGAAGAGGCTCATAATCTTGATGAGATGGCGTTTGATGAGTTTGTTGGGATCATGAAGGCTTTTGAATTAAACAAGGCATATGAAGCAAAAGAATAGAAGAAAGTCACTAATCTTGAAGCTATTCAGAAGAGTGCATATACTGAAGATTCGATGGCCTTGCTATCAAGGCAATTTTCTAAGTACTTGAAGCAGAATGAGACAAAGAAAAAGAATGGAAAAAGTGCAGAGGTTGACAGTTCATCGAAGAACATTCAATGCTTCGAGTGCAAAGGCTTTGGGCATGTTAGTTCTGAATGTACAAATCTGTTGAAGCAAAAGAAGAAGGCGCTGACTTGCATCAAGAGTGATTTAGACGATGAATTGGTTTTGAATAATTTTGTGGCGTTTACAACGTTTGTCTCCAGCTTTGTATCAGAATCTGCAGCAGAAACTGAGAGTGGCAACGATGGAAGTGCTACTGATGTTGAGAGTATTGGTGATGAAGAATTTGTTAGGAACTATGAGATGTTGTATGAACACTAGCTCAAATTGTTTGAAGAAAATTCATTGTTGACTAAGAAGAAGGTCAAGTTAGAAGGTCAAGTTGCTGAAGCACAGAAGTATGAAGTTCAGAAAGAAGATGAACCAACTCAAGTTAGAGTTCAGCTGGAAGAGATACAAAAGCAATTGAGGATGCTTAATAATGGTACAAATCAGTTCAATCATCTTGGTAAAAGTCATATGGAGCGACATGGTCTTGGATTTAATGGAGAATCTTCAAAAACTGAAACTGTTTTTGAAACAATCCGACCGTTTTTTTTATATAAAAAATAGTATCGAATTAGCATTCCCATAAATGCTAACTCTCAACATGCTAAATTCTCATCAACAACCAAACATCCCGCGGAAATCATAATCAACCAATCCAATCAATCGAATAACCAATAAACCAATTCAAACAATCAATTCAACAATTCCATAACAAGTATCCAATTTA